CTACCTATGCCCCAACCATAGGCCGACCTGCAGGGAGCTGCAGGAGGTGCTCTCCAATACACTGCCTGACTGTTACATTCATGTGTGCATGTGAACGAGCACCTGACACCCCCTGCCTGTGATCGTCCTGCTCCTGCTCCCCCACAGCCTGAAGCGGTCCCTTGCAGGCTGAAACTCTGCCAGCATGCAAGAGGAAACCCACAGTTTCCCACATTTTTCTCCTTTAAGGGAGAAAATCCATGTTTTTCCATGACAAATGGAAAACCCGGATCCCTGCTCATTAACACCAGATACTGTATAAGCTGACAGGTTAGCCAGGCTCAAAAAAAGGACTGAAAAAGTTATTGGAGAAAAGGGGTATCAGTAGCTATTGTGCACAGGGGTCAGTGATGCAGCTTCTGAATCAGAACTTCAATTGCTAGACCTTAAACACTGGAGACTGCAAATGAGAGGAACAGTGGATATAACCCAGTTCACTCTCCCTTTCAGCATCCACTCTCTGCCACTGTGTGACACAGGATACTGGCCAAGATAGGCCTATAGTCTGATCCAGGAAATGGTAATTCTTATGTCCTGATGAGAAACAGAAAACACAGACTTTCACTATGAAGTATACAAACACTAGGCATTATGATTAGCTCCAAGTATAATAAGAGGAAGTGGCTGTTTAACATCAGCAAATAAGAAACTCCATAAAGTGTCCAATTGGAGTTCATTTACCAAGCATGTTCTTGACTTTCTTCTGATGACCAGACATTGCTATTTTAATCTCCAAGTCTGCTATTGAACAGAAGGCAAGAATAAAAAACTTTATTTCAAGGAAGGGACATCTAAATTCTAGCATGCAGCTTATGGGTTTCTTCCAGTCCTTCTGTCAGTTTCTTTCCATCATACTTTCTTCTAGTGGCTACTATCTATCACTTTATCTCTGCATGTAAAAGAACAGCTGTGAGCTAGCTGGATGAAAACATTCAAACACATCCCATTCTCTTGCCCAGGAATTAGAAAAGTCAATTTCCCT